TGTACCTAGTTTCATTACTAGCCACTAAACATTAAATTCAGTGTAAGTACAGTTTGCTTATGGAACTTATGGAAAAATATTTTCTATTAAAGGCAGGTTGTCAGCATCTATACTATGCTTCATAATTCAGGACATTGAAATGAATGAAAAATTGTCACAGTGATAAGATTTTGAATGTATATTCTTAACTCTCAATACATTATTTACTCATTTAATCCTATGATGTAAATATTATCTACAATTTACTATGAAAAGACTGAGACACAGAGAGCTCTTGATCAAGATTACACTTAAAGTTTAAATTGTTGAAATAGGACTCAAATATAAGGTCCACTTAACCCCTCTCCTGTCCTAACCCTGAACATTTTATTATATTGAACATTCTTCCTGTGTGCAATACCCTGGACATTTTATTACATTGAACATTCTTCCTGTGTGCAATTCAATAAAGAATAGGATGCTTTCATATGAAACTCATGAAATGGAAAGAAAGATGTAGTACCCAAGATTAGCAATTGACTCCTTAACCTCAAAAGAAGTCTTCCTTGGGCTTGTTTCCTTCTCACTTTCTGTGTCTTTAATGCCTAGTAAACCCTCAGAAATGTTCTTTGAGTAAATGTTGGTTAATCAGTGATGAAGTAGAATGAGAATTGGTGATTTTTTTTAAAAGCAAGAATATTCAAGTTCCTTTAAATTTTGTAGTAGAAATCTTAGTGTCTAGAATTTAGTTATTGCTTAGGAAGGCATCTTTGAGGCTACCCAGATCATTAGACACACCCTAGTTCTTCCTGGGTAATAATGTCTGCTATAAATGAACACTTTTAATAAGGAAATATTGTTTAAGTTTAGAAAAATGTTAGAATTACTCTCATCCTTTCTATCAGTGTTAACTGGAATTTCCCCATAAAAACATCTTTGTGCTAATTATGTAATATAACATCATTATGTGATTTATTTAATATAGACATATTCTTAAGCAATAATTAAGGCCTTTTGTAGTGTCAAGAAATAACCATTGTTAAAACTTTGGGGCACACCCTCATACTTAAGTATATGATGTATAAATCAATATTTAAAATATAAAAATCATAATTCATCATACATGTCTTCTATATCAGTGCATAATTGTTTTGTCTCTTTTGTGGCTAGCTAACATTCATTGTATACTTATAATTAATTTATTTAATCAGTTTCCTGATGATGTACATTTAGGTTGTTTCTAGTGTTTTACTATCATAAAATTTGGTGCAGTAGACATTTTGTACACATCTTATTACTTGCCTAATTATTTCCTTGGAATAAATTCCTGGGAATAAAGCTGTTGAGGCAGTGGACAGTGTCCATTTTGCCACATTTCCCAGTGGTTCTTATTTTAAAAATAAAATCTGCTATATCAAAATGTTTCACTTCTGTGTGCATTTTTCTTAATAAGTTTGAACATCTTACTGTAACACAATAACAATACCATTTAAAAGGAGCTGATGCATTTTGATTTGTATCTTCCTTGGGATATTGGTAGTGTAATTACAATTTTAAGTCATGAAGTCAGAAAAGTAATTGAGTATATGGGCACAGAACCTTCCCCCCAAAGTGTCTTTACTTTATTGAAACTGAAAAAGAATGATCCTTACAGTTTCTAGTACGTAACTTACTGAAAACATGTATTATTTAATACTTATGAATTATTATTTTTTATTTTCCTTATTTAATACATGTACCATCTAAGTGTTTCTCAATCTTTTTCATTATCACCACCCCCCCACAAGGAATCATTTAGATATTTTCCTCCTAATTGTCCCTCCTGTGATATTTTGATACCATAGATGCACCATATGTTTGTTTATGTTTGGTGGCCTTTTGGATAACACACCATTATAGTATCTAAAATATTGTTGGCCCTTTAATGAACCAACTTTTGCCCCCATTGAGGTAATTCTGCCCCCGTTGAGAATGCATGGTATGTTTGTGCTTGTATTGCTACTTGAGGGAGGGATGCGAAAGCCTTGCTGTGTGCACAAAGTTGTTTCAGTTTCAAGAGACCAGTCAAGAAGTCGTTGTTTCTGTCACTTTATCAGTTGTCTGGAAAGGAACATTAGGGTTGGTAGTAATAACAACTGCTTCACCAATCAATTATCAAATTCTACATATGCTTTGCAGTACCTAAGTTACCTAGCATATCCTAGGCACAGTATTTCCATTCTTAAGAAAGTTGATATGCCAAGGTCACAGTGTCATTATTGTAGTTGAAGGCATTTTGTTGTATTTAGGGAATAATAGCAGTCCTAATGGCATTAGAATAGTAAATGTTCAGACTTATCATAGTGGTTCTCAAACAGCAGTTTTGCCTCCCAGGGACATTCGAAAATGTCTGGGAGCATTTTCGGTTATTAGACATAGGAGTGGGGTATTCCCAGACCGCATGTAGAGCCCTGGGATGCTGCTAAACAGTTGGCGCTGCCAAGGTTATGAAGCCTTGAGCTGCTGGTCACTTCATGCCTGTAATTCTAGCTACTCAGAGATCAGGAGGATCTCTGAGTTTGAAGCCAGCCTGGACAAATTGTTCGTGAGATCCTGTCTCAAAAATACCCATCACAAAAAAGGGCTGGTGGAGTGGCTAGAGTGGTAGAATGCCTGCCTGTCAGGCTTGAGGCCCTGGTTTAACCGCCCCCCCCCAAAAAAAAAAAAAAAAAAAAAGCCTTGAACTGTTTCTAATGATTGTACTTCTTGGAATCTATCTTTAGAAAATAATCAATGTTCTGGGACTTAGGTGTATGTACATTTTTAAGGCAAGACATATATATAACAATATATAATTATGAAAAGTAGGAAGTAACTCAGTTCTCTTGAGTCTAGAAGGACATTTGATTGCCCATGTCAGAACTTATATGGATTTCAGGAATTAAGAAATGTTTAGAGAAAATTAATTTACCCATAATAACAATTTTTTATTCAACACCCTTCAACTTCTTGCTGCTCACCCTGGGTTAAGGTATAGTACAAAAGTTAATAGACCTTTTATTTCTTAGAAGAAAATATGGAATTAAAAAATACAGCAATAGGAAACTGGTCATAGTGGTACATCCCTATAATCCCAATACTCAGGAGGCTGAGGCAGGAGGATCATGAGTTCAGAGCTAGTCTGGGCTACATAGTAAGACCCTATCTCAAAATAAATAAATAAATAAAATAAAATGGTAATATATAAGTGAGCTGAACATGAGCAGGTATGGTAAATGTTCTTTATGTTATTCTCTTTTCCTTTGTTTTTACAATAGTGCAAGATGACATTTTAAAAGTAATTGTACTTTTCAAATGTTTATGTTTGAACTGAGACCAAATGAAGAGAGATTTTTATAATAGCTATAATTTAGCAATATGTATATAATAAAATAGTAATGAATGACTTCATTATAACCACAACTAGTTAACTACAGCAAATAAAATGTTTTCCAAGGGCTTTTCCCATTTTGTGTTTGGAATGTTAAGTACTTTCTGAAGGTATTCAGTGTTTACTGAATGTAAAGAAAGGCAAATGGCTCTTAAAATTACTCAAGCAATGAGTGGGGTGATTGAGTGTGACTTACAATTTGACAAGATAACAAATTAGTGGTCCTTTTCCCCCCAGTAAGTTAACATGGAAATTAAATATATTTATAAAGAAACCATATTGTATGTTAACAAATTCAGTTTACTTCTTAAAAAGACAGAAACATATCTCTTTTGGCCCCTTGATAGTGATAGTATTCTCTAATGCCTGCCTCATAGATACTGAACATTGTGAAGTGCTTTCTTTTGGAAGAATTATTTATTTAAAACTGGTAACTGTTGCATTTGCATTCAGAATTTTTAACAGTCCTTTTCCTGTGAGATTTTAGACATTTAGCTTTTAGATTAGTAAAGTGTGCTTTTTTACTTTGTTTTATTCTCCTCTCCCAAAAAAAGGCATAATGTGATTGTTCCTTGTATAAGTGGCACTTTCAACAGAAACAGAACCAAGCATACTTTTTCTCTAAACTTGAGCCCCAGACTATCTTGTTAGTAAATTCAGTTCTGTCTATATCTATATATACATATTCAGATCTGATAGCTTACCCTAATGGAGGGAATTTTACTTGGGTTTCTGACAGAAAATTGAACAAATCTCATAACTGTTTGGTAGAAGATACATTGCTAGGTTGTCTTTAAAAAGATAGTTGTTTTAGATTCGGGGACCAGGCTGCTAAACAATAGATGATTGCTCAGAGGAAATGGTGCCAGCCATCAACTTGCCAGTGTGTTGTTAAAATTTTTCCTTGTAAGACAGGAAAACATTGTTTAAAACCATCATGTAGTGAAGACATTTAAACTTCTGTGAAGGATTCAATGTTTAGAGTATTAGCTTTTTTTAAAAAAGGAAATTGTGTCTAGTGTCACTAGACATATCATTTTTCTAAAATGAAGCTGTAAGTGAATTATTGCTGAAGATCCTATATCAAACCAAAGTTTAGACCTGAAAGCAAAGAGACTAGCTCAGCATGCATTTTGCTTAGCAACCAGCTTGTTGTCTACTGTTTTGCAACTGAATGCATGTAGTCATGCCTCAGAAATATATCTGTAGCAGCTGGACTCAACCGGACAATACTTCATTCACCTAATTTCCAGACTAGCCAGGCAAAGACATCAGTTCATTGTATTTAGTCATGAGAAAATTTATTTGTAAACTTTTAAGTAGCATACTGGTCTCAAAAAATCCCTGAACTATAAGAAATCGCCTTCTAATTCAGGAAGGTGAAATCCTTGCAATTCAGAACTGCTTCACTTTCATTTTTTTTTTATTTTACTAATATTGCAAGTATATTATTTCAAAAATATGCTTCCAAAATCCTAGAAAAAAGCAAATAACTCTTAATAGAAATGATAGTTTAAATTCTAAGAATAACTGAAGGATTATCTAAAAATGAAAATTTTGAAAGTTTTTGGATTATCTACAGTGATCCTAACATGATTATTTTCTCTCTTAGAAAACAACGGTTTTGTTGGCATGTGAAACTCCAATTTCCTCAAAGTCAAGCTGAGTACATAGAAAAAAGGTATAGCATTGCCACTGTCTGTAAAGAACTGATAGGTTTTTATTTTAAGGCTCTATAATTAAACAGTTAACTGATGTATGTTGCTGGCAGAATGAATAACTTAAGTGTGATATACTCGCACAGTACAATACTAAATAATACTGAAAATAAATGACTGTAGCTGTGTACATCAACATGCATGAATCAGTGCATAGGATATGATTATGTTTAACTGTAGAGGAGGCAAAAACCAAATAGTGTACATTTCAGGATTGTCTACAAAGAAGTTAAAACTCTAAGGGAAATGGTTAACACTGAGATCATGATGGTAATACTGAGCAGAGCATACAGGTACTAAGGAGACAGATAAAGCGTGAGTCAAGAGGGCTGAAAATTTTGTTTCTTAGGCAAGTGCTTGTATAAGACGTGAAAAATGACCCAGAATTCTACTATGCAAAAGTTACTATTAGCATTGTAGTCTACCGCAGACAATGCATTATTTTAGAGAAATGTGGTGGCACACATCTGTAACCCTATCCCTCAGGAGGCTGAGGAAGGAAGATTATGAATTTGAAGGCAGTATAGGCTACATAGCAAGTTGGAGGCTAGCCTGGACTATCTGCATAATAAGACCGTGTCTCAAACAAACAAAAAAATGAAAATACATTATTTTAGATACGTACATGGTAACATAATTGGAATTAATTTGCATGAAGTTTCTTGAACATTTTCAAATATTGTTAAAAATTTTAATGACTTATTTGACTTCTTGGGTTAGCACAATCTTAAAGTTGATATGTAAGTAGCATATTTGGCATCTAGCACATTATATGTAATGTCTTCTCAGTGTCGCATAGGGTTTAGTGAAAAGCTGTGTTATTTGAAGTTATATACCATACTAAAGACAGGGAGAGGGTTTATTTTACAGATAGAAGTATGTAGCTAATAATTTAAGTTAATATGTGTAAATGGTTAGGGATAGTTACTATTTCAAAAGTGTCTTAATTTTATTTATACAGCTTTATATATAAATTTAGAACTATGTGCATTAATACAGGAAAGTTAGAAAACTTAAAAATAAGTTGGAATACTTAAAAATAATACCAGGGACATTAGTATCAACTTTTTGACCTGGTCTTATGATTTAGTATTGATAAACTTGAACATGCACTGAAATCAGAATTATGACCTTGTTAAGTATGCCCAAGAAGTCTTTCTGTGCTTTTTTTTCCTACACAATTCTTGCTTGGAAGGTAATTATATGTTATATTTTGCCAAGAATTAAAGTGAAAAATCTTTGTTCAGCTTTTTAAGCCAAAAAAAGCCACATTTAGTAATTCTGAGTTAACACCCATGGTAGAAAATTATAAGTAATAATTTGTCTGTTTTCTTTTTCTTTGTTGGAAAGAGTACCAGATGATAAAACGATTGATGAAATTCTAAAACCTTATATTGATCCTGAAAAGTCTGATCCCATAATTCGTCAAAGGTATGTTTCAAAATCTAGTACGTTTTTGTGGTAATTAAAAATGTTGAAGTATTTTTCGGTACATGTTTATTATGGAAAGTCATGGCTGTATTAGAATGTGGTATGCTGATGCAAATTGTGGTCCCATTTCCTTGATATTTACTGAAGGCCAGTCGTTTTAAATAACAGCAGTAAATAACACCATTTACTGTGTCCAGTAAATGACACTTCAAAGCAGGTGATAATAAATGTACTAATTCATTAATCCTCACAGTAATTCTGTATGTGGATTACTGGTATTATACTCCTTTTACAGATGGGGAAACTGAGCCTTAAAGTAGTTAAGTTATCTCATATAACTAAGAAGCAGGAAAGCTGAGATTCAAACCCAGGCAATGTAGAGTCAAAGTCTGCACTCTTAACCCTTAAACTAAACTGCATTTCAAGTTAAACCAAAATTCTAAAAATTAAAACTGTTAATAAATAAATAAAACTGTTAATTAAATAACTGTTAAAGGTAGGAAATTCTGTTTCAGCCAAGTCTTCATAGAACTTGCCTCCTGTCCAAAAATGTAGCATAGACAAAGTGACTAATATAGATAACATGGCAGAAGGTAGCTCTGTCCCTAATTGACTGTGTGATCAGGAGCAAATTACTGAACTTCCAGGCCTTTAATTTCCCTCCAGTGAAATGAGAATGATAATATCTACTACATAGGGTTGTTATGAAGCATTAAAGGGCCTAGTGCATAGTAGGCAGTGCTCAAAAAAATGGAAACTTACTTATTGGGTTGTGAGTTATTAGTGCTTCTGGGTAGGAGCCCATAGACTTTATTTTCACCCAATGTTACTTGCTTGGGATATGAATGCTTGGTTTGGTTCCAGAGTATCCTGGTTTTAGACTGAGTGGATTCTAAATGTCTGATCTGATCCAGTTCTAGTCAAATCTCATTTTTCTGCTATTGAAAAAAGGCAGTGGCCAGACTAATCAAAAACCATGTCACATATCAAGCTGTGTCAGTTGTGATAGTTGAGTTCACTTCCTTATAACTAATGACCTAGTTGTTATCATTAGTACATGGCATTAAATTGGATACTTAAAAAATAATAATAAAACAGCTGATTAATTTGCTGAAACAGGTATTTTTTAATTTAAGATGTCTGAATATCAATTTTGCTCTCTTCATTATGACATTTTATTTCAGGTTAAAAACCTACATTTGCTCTCAGACCGGAGTCCAAATTTTAATGAAGGTCGAATATATGCAGCAAAATTTAGTAAGGTAAAGTTGCTTTCCTCTCCATTTCTTTAAATATTTTCTAACGCTGTATTATAATTAAGTAGCTTCATTAGCTCAAGTAGCTAGCTTTATACTGGCTGTCAATAAAACCTAAAGTTATAAAATAATATTAAATTAAAATTCTTAAATAATCATATTTATCATAATATAAATTTGGTTGAAAATCACACTAGTTAGCATATTGTAAAATATCATCAGATACAACTGATTTTTAATTCCTATCTTAACCTTATTTCAGGAAATATTCTAGTGTTTATATAAGTTTATATAGAAACTTATATAATCAACTGACTGTTACATATATTGTAGTACAAGGAATACTGCATAGAAATGTGAAGAGAGCAAGGTTCTAACAAACCCTATGAGTTGAGTAAATTCTTAATATCACTGGGCTTTGTTCCTTCACTAATGACTATTCTAGGTTATCTCTTCACAGTCCCCACAAAGGCAATGTGTCAGCAGACTGAGTTGCAAAATACTGATTTTTAAAAAACTGTGATGCCTTTTTTCTATTTTTCCATTGATTAGTTAACAAAGCTACTGTATCTAATTCAAACTATATCTGGTTGGTTTCTTCTATGATTTGGTTTGCTAACCTTAGCGACCCACTTAAGAGTCCAAGTTGTGAAAGCAAAGTCAGATTTGAAACCCAGATCCACCAGGTTCTCATTATGTGAATTTGAGTAAATTATATAGCCTCACTTATCTTAGTTTCCTTATCCCTGAAAATATGATGCTAAGAACTATAAGATTAGGGACTAAAATAACAAATGACAAATGCTTATTTCTATTACTACTAGTATTATAACTTTTGTAACTATTATTGTTACTGTTATTTCTGTTGCTACTAATAAATGTATCCTAACAAAAGATCTGCATATAAGAGTAAAAGACTTTTATGTTTACCCCTGGAGGTGTGGCTCAAGTAATAGAGCATTTGCCTAACAAGTACAGGACCCTGAGTTCAAACCCCAACACCACCCAAGGAAAAAACAAAGAAAAGACTTTTATAGCTAGCAAGGGATCCTAAACACCACATCTTGACCAGTTTTTTTTACTACCATGTCTCAAATGCTTTATATGGTTGACTAAGTTTCATTGATGAAAGATTCAAGTTATCTACCATAACTTGACAATTCAGCATATTTGCATGCAGCTCATGGTTTAGCACCCCATCTTTTCATCTGTGCTCCCACATGAGACTAAGATAGAAAGTATCTGCGAAAATAGTTATGCAGAGTTAAAATATTTATAGTAACCAATGTCATTCATTCTGAAATTGGGGATCAAACATATATAATTAACAAGAAATACTTATGTGCAAAAGATGATTTGAAGTGATCTTGTGTTATCACCAATTCCATATCTACCTTATTCCTCATCCTCTTATTCATCCAAGAAGAAATGAATTAGCACTTAGTTATGATTGTTACCTAAAATGTTTTAAATAGACAATAATAACTTATTTTAAAAATATAATTCATGTTTAAGCAAAATGATTTGCATCATTCCCCTGAAATTGGCCCCTGGTAAATCATTAAATATTTCTCATTTATTATCTGTGTTTCCTCTCAAAATTCAGTTCCTTTCTTGACATGCACCATATTTTATCTAATTAGTTCTATAATTAAATGTTGCTTATATTTTACATAGTGTACCATGGCTTCAGTCTCAGAAGCTAATAAGAAAACATACCCTCTGGGGGTCTTTATGAACAGTGAAACAGCTTTTAGTTAGCTGCCTCATCTCATTTTCTCTAAAACTAACATCTATTCTCCTAGTCTTCTGAGGACTTGGTGGCAATCTCTGATAATCACTTTTATCACTCTACACCACTCAGCATTTGCCAACTCCTTGTCATAGACTGCCTTTGTGAGGATAATATATAAATAATGCCAGAAGGTAGATAGTAAAAATGTATTCATCTTGATTCAGGAAATTTTTATTCTTAATAGCAGTCTAGGGACTGGGAATGTAGCTCAGCTGGTAGAGCACTCACCTAGCATGTATGAGGCCCTGGTTCTATCCCCAGCACTGCAGAGAGAGAGAGAGAGAGAGAGAGAGAAACTAAGTGCCTCATCATTTCCTTTGTATGTGTTTGATCTTGAATAATCACAAATGGTAGTCATTGGATACTATCTTAATGACTGCATGAATAGGATTATTTTTTAAATGAATAGGCATAGGTTTGAACCATTAGATTATTTTTATAGGTTTAAATAATGCCAGTTTGGGTATCAACTTGACCATAGTCACCTTATTTACCTCTCTGTTAGCCAAATGATTAAGCTTTACCAAAGCTGAAACAGGCAATTTGGTACAGTTCCAAAGAACAAAAGTTTTGCTTCCCACCCCCCCCCACCAGCCCCCTTGGTTTGTTTGATTGGTTAATTGATGTATTCTGGTCTATTTGTTTATTGGCTTGCTTGTTGTTTGCACATTTTATTTCCACCCAGGCTCTGAGTTCAAAAGAAAAGAAAGAAAAAAAAAAAGGTCATTTCCATTTTATTTCTTCCCTTAACTGAAATTTTATTATATTTCCATTTTAAGTCAAGGCAAATTGGGCTATGCCTAATGAAGAAATGTGCTAGTTGAGTAAACCAGTCAAATTTAACTCTGACTGAGTACCTTATTTTCCCAAAATTCAAGGAAATCAAAATCTGTGAATGTAGGGCACTGAGTTTTTAATACAGGATAGTCTGCTTGTACATATATCATTTATTTTAACTTAGATGTGCGTTCTGTCCTTGAAGAGGCAAAGAGGATGGAAATCTCAGCTTGTCCTAGCAAACCAGGAGAATATCGAAAATGCCTCCAAGATTAGATGATCCAAAGGGGAGCAGTTGAGGAAACAGCTTTGTGCAGTTGCATAGAAAGAAATCAGGTGTATAGAGACTGAACTCAGAAAGATACTAGTCAAATTGGTAAGGCTTACTTTTACAAAGAATCAGAGAGGTAAGCCTAAACCAAAACAAAAATGTCAAAGAATTTCACTGAAATGAAGGTTAGATGACCTAGTTATAGACATTCAACTTCTCTATGCTTCATTTTCCTTTAAGATCCTGTACTTTCTCTAATTGTATAACCTTCCTTCTTTAGGGACCAAAAGTATCACAGTAGGCTTTGAACTAACCTACTAATCCCCAAAGGAAAGAGAATGCTATATTAATAAAGTGAGTAGTAGTAACTATAAGGACTGTTTTGATACTAAACCTGAGCCAGACTGACATGAAAAGTACTTTGACTCTGTGTTATCTTTGTAGAGAGCATGTCCTCCATATTCTCCATTTGAGTAGTTTACTTGAACTAAATAATATGAAAATACCACAAGAGGAAAGGAAGGGGTAAAAACTCATGATCCAAGGCCAGGAATTTTGGATTTAAAATATTACGCTATTTAACTTGAGTACTGATGGAATCATTTGAAAACAGTAATGTAAGAAATTCCAAATGAGCTAGCTTTTTTCCTGAAGGTAGGCCTAAATTGGTTCTTATATTTCTGGTCATTAAGACAACCTCAACACATAGTTTCTAAAGAACCTTCTGATTTTGTAATCAAGATAATGAAGTTAGATATTGTATAGATATATTTAGACACATTTTTATTAGAAGGTTCTTTATATAATTAATTCATAGATAGGCTAAGATGAGTGTTTATATTTGATTGTATAAATAATCTAGTTTTATCATCAAAGTACACTCCAATCTAATGAACATTATTATAGGTTATAAAATATTAGTTTCTAATTTAAGATAAACATATTAAATAGGAGGACTTTTATTATTTCCTAAAAAAGTACTTAGAAGACAGAAATGTGTAGTTTCCTTGTGGCTGCTTGATTTTAAATGTATCCTACTATTTGTAGTATTCGTATCTTCAGAATCAGAATAAAGTCTTTTTACCAAATACTTGGTTTATGGTGTCTCATGAGACACCTGATCAACTGCAATAAACTTTTAAATGTTTCCTGTCTTTAACTTTGCCATGCATAACTTTTTTTTTAAGTTGTCACCATAGAAGGCATGCCTACTCCAGGGAATTTGCTGCTAATCTATTTGGAAGTTTTCTTTCTAGAATACCTAGGGTTTGAATTTGACTCTTTGGTTTTGGGGAGTTTTTTGTTCTTGTTGGTGTTTTTTGTTTTGGTTTTGTTGTTGTTTTTGGAGACAAGGCTTGCTATGTAGCTTAGGCTGTGTTTGAACCCAGGAACCTCTGCCCTAGCCTCTGGGGTGAAGAAATTCTAGGCATTCACCACTACACCCAGCTTGACTCTTCTTATAAAAGCTAATGTAGCCCCTTAAATAAATTTCTTTATTCATTCATTCAGCAAACACAACAGTATCTATGAAGTTCCAGGTGCCTATCTAGACATTGAGGCTTTGGCAATAAAGAAAAGCATTCCTGCCCCTAGGAACATGTATTCCTAGTGGACGAGATGAGATCAGTGCAAGGTGCTTGTGGAGTAAAGCTACACTTGCTCTGTGTCCATGTTATTTGTTACTGCCTTTCTGTTCTCACAGGAAAGTAAATCAATGGTTTTTAACTGGAAAAACCTACTTTGGTAATGCCAGGTGCTTTCAGAGGGCAAGCATTGTAACATTGTATTGCTGTTAGCTTAAGTTATTGCTAACTAAAGCATTTATACAACTTCAAGATTTGACTTTGTCCATTCAAAAATAATGTTCCAAATCTTAAATTTTAAGCCTCAGTTTTATTATTTATTAATGGAATTTTCCACAAAAAAAGTTTAGATATGTTTTCTGGATTTTTTTGCTGTTTGTGGTTTTTTGGTTTTTTTTGGTGGGACTGGGGTTTGAACTCGGGGCTTCATGCTTGCAAAGCAGACGCTGTACTGCTTGAGCCACACACCAGCCCATTTTGCTATGGTTAATTTGGAGATAGGGGTCTCGCAAAACTATTTACCTAGGCTGGCCTCAAATCGCGTTTCTCCCTATCTCAGCCTCCCAAGTAGCTAGGATTA